TTAAAATACAAATAATCTATTAACACATATAAAAATGATAAAACAATATATTTTACTAGACTTTTTATACAGAAAAAAATTTTATAATAATAAAAATGGAACATTTTATAAAATATATTTTTATCATCCATTTAGTTCGCGAGGTTTCTTAAAAATAATTAATGGCCTTCTACTTCAAACATTTTATGAAACCAAGCAGAATATTGTATTTTTTTTTTTTATGAAGTAAATATATTTTTACTTAAATAATTAGATACTTATGTCTAGGGGTGTTAGAGATGAACAACATTCTAAATCTTCTCAGTCACAAAAATCAAAAGGACAGTCTCCTTCATCAGAAAAGAAAAATAACAATGATAAAAAGTAATTTTGATATTTTAATTTTATTTAAAATTACTATAATTTGTAAATTGAAAATTAAAATTTTCTTCTAAACTTTTTTTCAAATAGTTAAAAATATATCTAATTGTTTGAACATTTGTTTTAGAAATTCATCAAGTTCTAGACGTAAATCAACATCTCCTGCTATTAAAAAGAAAGAAGATGTGAGTATTTATTTTTTATTGACAGTACTAGCTAAATTACCTGGTTTTTAAGTGGGTTATAAGCATTTTCATATTTTACCTATTCAAATCAAAATATTACAATTAATCAATGTATTAGTCAGATAATGGTCACACCTTCAATTTATTTTGTTGGTTAATAGCTAGTGGCACAAAATTCTCTAGAGAATTCTAAATTTATATGTTGTTGTAAAAAAGACTATGCGTCCTCTTAACTACTAATCAAAAATGTCTAATTTATAAATCATTAATAAAAATATCTTAAATTGTAAACTTCTAGTATAGTCTACACTAAATAATATATTATTTGTTTAGTATATCCATTAAATTTTGTTGGTTTTACTATAGGAAAAACTTGAAAAATTAAAAAAACCTTTAAAAAAATCTGATGCTTCTGATACTGAAAATACCAAAATTAAAAAAAAAGAAGAATCAAGTTCATCAGACGAATCATTAAAAAAGTCTAAAAAAAGAGTTAAAAGAGATTCTAGTTCAGATGATGATAAAACAAAAACAAAAAAACGAAAACTCAAGGATTCTACTTCATCTGAAGATGACGAATCCAAGAAAAAAAAGAAACGTAAAAAAAGATCTTCCAGTTCAAGTTCAGATGTATGTAGAATTTTAAATAAAACATAAAATTTGTATTTATCTTCATTTTATGTGCTTTTATAGGAAAGTGACAGAGATGACAAAAAAAAGAAAAAAGATAAGAAACATAAGAAACACAAGAAGCACAAGAAACATAAAAAACATAAGAAACGCAAGACTGAAGAAAGCGTAAATAACAATTTAATATATATTATACTTATCATATATTAAAGCTTTTAATAATCACATTTTTATCGTAACATAACAGGGTTCTGATGTCAAATCTGGAGATGAATCGGAACAACGTTTAAGAGAAAAAGCATTGCGTACAATGAAAAAGAAAAATCAAGCTAAAAACGATGGAACCCCTAATAGTAATAGCAGTGATTAAATAAAAAGGTTAGTTTATATTGAGGACATAACCTTAAAATAATGTTTGACTAGTATATACCTCAATAATTATTTATAAGATACAAACCTCATTATATTTGCATGATAAAAAAAATAAAAAATAAAAGAACTTAAAAATCTGTAAAAATTAAAAAGTACAGAGAATTTTTTTTCAATAAATCATTTATATTTAACAAATTTAAATCTGTGTATTATTTGTAATGTAATTGTAACCTAGATGTTTTTTTTTTTTTTACTTTTATTATTACTTTACTATACTAATAATATAATCAGTCAATTTAAACATAAAAACTATATAATATAAACATAATTCCATTCTATTTTAATTTTAAATGATAGTTTCCAAACAAATAATTTAAAACATTTATATATTTGTATTCAATTAATCACTAGACAACTCATAACCAATGTATTTGTTTTTTTTTTTTTTTTTTTTCATTTAACTCGTTTAGTCAATAAATAATATTTTTAGGTAAGAAATTCTTTCTTTTTGTCATATTGACCGTTGTAATTCTAGCAACGAGAATTTGACAGGTTAGCCTACTGTCCAGTCAACAGGCTGCTGACTTGTTGGCAGAGTTATACTTGCATCATTTTCATAGCGCTGTCTGATCATTTTTGAAGCCCCTACAATTGTTTTCTTTCAATCAACATTTTTAATGAGCAACTACAATACTTCTATCAACATTCATTCTGAGTTTCTCCTATCAACATATCTCCAATCAACATGTCTTCAATCAACATGTCTTCAATCAACATATCTCCAATCAACATCTCTACAATCAACATGTCTTCAATCAACATATCTTCAATCAACATCTCTCCAATCAACATATCTACATTCAACATTACTTCTATCAACACTCCTACATTTTTTCAACATTCCTTCAATTAACCTAGTTCTTCACTACAATCAACATTTTTTTTTTTTTGACAAAAATCCTTCAATACTCTTTCAAGATTAATTGAGGGTTCTACGTTTTCAAAACACTGAAAACTATCATCCCATTTACTTATTCTCTATTATCATATGATTGATTGCTGAATAAGATGTGTGCACAATTTAATATCTTAACCAATGAGAGTTGTGTTATGGTATGCATCCTAAAATATAATTATCTAATTAAATCAATAATTTTCAAGTTTTTTTTTTTTTTTAATTTTAATTTTAGGATTAATTCAATGCCTACGACAGCTGTTTGAAAATTTACCTAGGCCAATTGAAAATCTACAGTTGATCCATAAAAGTTTTTGACTCATAAAAAATTATTCAATTAATATATAACATAATCTTATTTTGTATAAAATATTTTTTTATGAGAAAATCTATTTTAAATTTAATTGTTTTGTTTCAGGGCTTATAATTAAGAAGAAATTGAAGTATTAGTCATAATTCACAAGAATGGTTCTGTGAAGGTTTCTTAAATTTTATCAATTTTTTTTTAATATGTTTTAAATAATAAACAATTAATTAATTTAACACAATTATACACACATCTTAAAATAAATACACTACAATATTCAATTTTTTTTAATATTTATTAAATTAAAAATACATTGTTTAATTTAATGTTTTACATAAGCAATACAACATAGTTAACATTTAGTTATGTTTAAATATTAGCTATTACAATTAAAAATAAATATGACATATTTTTACTTAAATATGAATTTTTATTTATTTATGTTAATTGCTTTTATAAATAGTGTACCCTATTAAATTTTAATGTCCATTCCTCAATACAATTACAAAAAAATATATATATATACTTCTATGGTTTATTGAGTATTTAACTTAATGTAAATGTTTAAAAAATTGGTTAAAATACTTGCAAATTGAAAACTCTTATACATAATATTTTTTTAGTGGATATCTATGCCTTTATATGTTAATAGAGAAATGTGGTGAATGAATTAAAGTTTTAATTGAATGTTTGTTTTAATATAAAATATAACAACCTGTTACCTAGCAAATTAAATAACAATATTAGGTTTTTAATTAAAAAGTTATCTACACCTAAATATTATAGTTTCTGAAGTATAAAAAAATCAACTAATCTTTTGATACCACTTCTTAAATATTGTCAATCCTAACTTGTAATATACATCATGAGAAATCATTAAAAAAATTGAATATAAAATAAATGAGTTAAAAAAATATATGTATATTTATAGATATAGAAAAATGATTCCAAATATACAGTATATTCTCAAATAATAAATAGTATGAATTTTATATTATGCCAATGAGTGAAATATGTAGTCAACAAATGTTGATCACATCATTAATATTGTTTTTTAAAGTTTGGAAATAGTATGGAATAAATAAAATTTGTTCGATTATTGCATACAAGTGATATGTTTATAATTTGAACAGACACTACATAGAATAAGTCAAAAACCAACCAATATTTAGAGACAGTGATGCACTGAGGTAGCGATTCAAATTTTAAATATCTTTAACAATATATATTTTGAATTATCATTTATCACATTGTTTATTGAATAGGAAATACACGAAATAATTATTACTTAAACAAACCCCGGTATTTCTGCTGGCAGTAAGGTTCTAATGATATCATCATCAAGGCATCATCCGTTTAATGGTCACCTGATTCTATACTTGTATATCAAAATTACACATGCATGATACATTTATATATACCTGAACATGATGCTAGATTGTTAAATACTTAATAGATTCTAAATTAGAGGTGAAATAATTTTTAACAAAGATCTTCTCAAGTAAGAAATAAACAAATTATTAGATAATTTTATGACTTCACTGATTAGACAAAAACATATATAAACATCAATATCTAAAATAGTATTTTAAGTTTAAATAAACAAAGTAGTAGATCAACATTTTGTAGGTTATCTTTATATCTTTACTCTCCACTCATAAAATTTTTAATATTTAAATCATGAACTACTCATCTAAATTTCATTTTATATGTATCAAAATATTCTGCTTCGGAATATGGAAATAAAAATGTATGTTGTCATTCAAAAACGTTAATAGATTTTAAAATAATGAGTGTTGCATGATAAATAAATCATTTGTGAATACAGGTCTTCCAAATTTTGTGATAAAAATTGTTAAGGGATTATTTTGGTTATATTATTGTGATCCCCGTAATTTTTAATTGTCACTGTATATATAAAAATAAATAAATAAATATCAATCTGTTACTTATATAACCTTGAATATAAATACAATTTATTTATTGGCACTGTATACATAAATTAATTAAAAGTACCTAACAGGTTTTTAAAATCTGAAATTTTAGAAGAGATGAATTGTGCAACAGATTCTTGTATTTTAGATGAAAACAAAAATATTTAATTAAATTTATTAGATTGAATATAGTTATACTTTTATCAACAAGTAAATTAACTTAATAAATAAAATAAAATTATTAATTAATTGGTAAGTATAATAATGGTGTTTAATAAGAACTCTTTGTAACATACAAAACTAGTAACAAATGTTTTTAATTTATTTAATTTGGTTTACTATTATTATATATTAAATTATTTTCAAAGTTAGTCTTTAATTTGTATATTGTCTTCCACAGATATCGATCCAACAATTTCAGATTCATTTATATCCTCATTAATTGAATAAAGTAATTTTTTGGCTAATATTTGAATGTCTTCATCAACACTATTACAATGTGAAGTCAGTAATTTAATAAAGGTTGAATTTTTGTACAGAACAAGCTGTTTTTGACTAATGCCACCTACAAAAAATAGAAATACAATAAAGCAAAGTTCTCTAAAATTAAATATAATTATAATATAGCAATTCAGGACTTAGAAGTAATAATTATTACAATTAATCAAATGGCTTGCTGGCATAGACTAATAATATACTTGCTAGTATGCATTATTGTACTGACTGTACTATAATAGATCTGTTTAATATTATTAATTATTTATTAAGTACTATTAATAATAGTGAAATTTAAATTTAAATTGTAAAAAAAAATAAATTAATGTTGAACATTACAGAATATATGTTATATATGATAGATACTTTATAGAATTATTAACTAAATTAATTGACTTGATAACTGTAATTTGAGAATATAGCTTTTAATCTACTCTAAATTTTTTTCGTTAAATTCTATACCAATACATAAGATAATAATTGTTCATGATTATATTATAACCCTGAAGTTATTATTACAATGTTAATAAAAGTCTTCAAAAATTTAAAATATAGGTACCCATTAATATTTAAATAAACTTATTAAAATCCCTTTCTTAACAATCTTCCATTAATCTCTATAAATGTCAACACTTAGTTATACATTTTTATTTAAAAAAAAAAATATATATATATAATTAAACAAAAACTAGCCAGCAATATTTATTAGATTATGCAATAAGCAAATTTTGAAATTGCAATATGAAATATACTTTTTTTTTATATATGTCTAGAGTAAATTTATAATATAATTGTTGCAATTAGGCTTATACTAGTAAATTATCATACACATTTCATAGTAGCATAGGTACCTAATATGACAAATTAGATATTTAAGAAAAACACTGAAACATAACAGAATTTATCAGGGCTATTTATACTTTAAATCAACATGTTTCCAAATTTAATTGTATAAATAAAAATTTTCTTCCAAGAAAAAATAATTACTTAATGTATTGAATATATGTATAGATAATAATATATTTTTTTAAATTAAATTAAAAAAATTAAAATTGTTATCTATATATTTTTTTTTAATTTAATCAACATGTTAGTAGTTATTAGTTTCTTAAGGTGATCATTAATTCATGTATACATATGTTTTAACAATAAGCAATACATGTAAAACTATTCGAGCAAAAATAAATAACATTATAACATATACTATATACAATAAAAATAGTTTATGTAAAACAAGAAATAAAAAATAAAAATCTAAATAAAATAATTTTTAAATGGGGATTTTAATTTTAATTGCCTTAAATGTATACTATATTAAAAAAAATTATTAAATTATTTTTGTAAGACCTTGAAAATTAAATATTTAGATATTAGTTCAAAAGTTTGAAGTTATTAAGTAGTTAATTAATAAAAATTAAAAACAGTATGATAAATGGGACTCTTACTTAATAACAATAATGGAACATTACATAGTGATACTAATAACAAGTTAATAAAAGAAAATTAACTTTGATTTTATATTTATAAACGTATACATACATATATAATATAAAGTATAGTTCACTTATTTACTGAATTATGTGTTTACCTTTTTTTATGATATATCTTATAACATCCAAGCCTTTCATTACTATTGGATTAAATGTAGTGTGATTTAAAACATCAATAGTGGTTTTGATCAATTTATCTATATCATTCTCACACACAGATTCAAAATTTGTAACATACAAAAGATTTCTAAAAAATTAAATAAATAACAAAATTGAAATAAATTAAATATTTTTAAGACTCACTTAAACAAACAAAGTATAGATACTTCCATCAATGAATTTTTATCTTTGATTGATTTGTCTAAATTATTTATAAACCATGTTATATGTTTCATTATAATGTTGGCAGGACTTATGGTAGTATGAACTGGTTCATATTCTAAAATAGCACAATTTAATATTAAATAATAATATAATTTTTACAAAAATTAATATTCTCTTACTAAATCTACTAAAGTTTCCCAATGACCTTACAGCTGACAACTTCAAATATAAATTATTAGAATTTAGTTTTTTAAGTAGCCATTCTACTAAATATAAAACATCAAGTTGTTTATTTTTTTCCATCGAACCATCTAAAAAAAAGAAAAAAACAACCATTATAATTTAAATCAATGAGAGAGAATTTATAAGAAGTGAAAATATAATTTACAAGACATTTATTGTACAACAGTAACCATACCATTTCAAAAATATTATTAGGTAAATTTAAAGCATGATAAAAAATATAATTGATCAAAATGTATAAAATTAAATTTAAATTATCTACCATAAACATTTTTTTTAACTTAAATAAAAATAATAGTACTATAATAATTAGTTAATTAATTATTTAACTTTTTTTGTCTATGGTTATTGACATTTGACAATTTGGCTTACAATCAAACTTAATTTTATCAAATGTTGAGTGATGTTGATTAATTCAAATGTAATAAGATACAAGCCAAGATCATAGAAACAACATATTAATATATTTATATCATAATTTAAGATTCATTACGTAAACCATACCATCATTGGAAAGTAAAATTATGATATCACATATTTTTTTAACAATACGTTTTGGATCTTCTTCTTGATTTTCTTCATATTTATCTAATACTTCTATTAATGTTTTATGTTTTTCTTTTAATATCCAGTTATAAACATCTAAAAATATTTTTATTTTTATTTAATATAATTACTTTTTTTTTTAAATAAATAATATATGTTAATTGAAGTTATATATGTTATGCATTTACTATAAGTCTTAGACACTTGTTTAATGAATTTAATACAAATGGAAGTAATATTGATGTGCATATTATATGTCTTTAATAAACGATCAATAAAATAACATTTTTCATAATCTGTTATTTTAGTGTTACTTGAGGACTTTCTAACAATATTAATCATTACTGATACCAAGTTTATATAAAATCTATAGTTATTATTCTTATATTCCATGTATTGAATTCCATACAAATTTAATTCTTCAATCATATTATCCGGAAACTGTAAAAAAAAAATTACAATATTTTTCTTATTTATTAATATACTAATAATACAAACCTTATAATTATAGTCATCCAGATGAGTTAAATTTAATAATAATCCGATGATGACAGGTTGAATGTTTTCATTAATCTTTGTTTTCAAAAGTTCCATCGTAATTAAAAGACATCCTTCCTTTAATGCACACTTAGTATTTTCTTCTAAAAATTATTTGAAACAAAGATAATACATTTATTGGTAAGCGCTTTATTCAAATTCAATTTTTATTCTACCTTTGGTTATAATTAACAGACAAATTTGTTTTAATTCAAAATCATATGTACAATACATTTTTTAATATTAATTATAAATTGGTAGCAACTACAGATTAAAATAAATTTCTATCTTAATTTGTTGTAGTATTTAGTGTTTAATTTTAAGAATATATACTGCAATAAGTAATTTATTATTGTTAATTATTTTATAAATGACTACATTTTTTGTTTTTTGTACTTTATCTAACTTAATTTTCTATAACTGAAATGAATGTTATTATTTACCATGGTAATAACAAAGATTCCCAATTGCACGACATGTCTGAAGCAAACATTCTTGAATACACTTATCTTTATTAATACGACTTATAAGTGACTTTAATATGTTCACAGTAGACACGGTTATTTTTTCTCCAAAATAATGTCTTGCTAAGTCAACTGAGCATAATGAAGCAATTACATTACATCCAGCAGTTAAAACTTGATTGTTATGAGTAGGTGATAAAGGCAAATATTTAATTAATTGTTTATAATCATCTTCTGACAAACCTAAAAATAATTATTATATTTATGTTTAATTATTAAATTCATTTAATATTAATGTTTTCAGAATCATAGCTTATGTTTATACATGTAATACTTGTAACAAATTAAGAATTCGGTAATAAAATAATTGATTAATACAGAACAAATACCCATCATTCACAAAACAGATAAGAATTACTTGAATTATTTTCAGAATTTGGAAAAAAAATAATACATTAAATATTAATGATATATACTTACATTTTGGATCAAGTTCAGATAATTCATTCAATAAATCCATGATGTTGTTATAATCTTTTTCATTTATTTGTTTGTTTATTTTACTGATATTAAAAGACTCAAAAAGAATAATTTTTTCCATTTTACAATTCTAAAAAAATATATATACATTTATATAACTTTTTAATATTGATAATTTTTACTTAGATTAAGTTTTTGATTTTGATTTTCACGAATCTTAAATTATTGATTCACTAACTCGATTTTCTAGTTTTTTTTATTACATCAATACATTCTGTGTATCTCAATAAAAACACAAACACAATACTTTTAATAGATTTTTTAAATTATTTTTAATTTAATATCATTAAATCAATAGAATCGCCATAAATGGAACAAAATATTATTTTAAGAAAACATTATTACAAATATAATTATTTTAAAACTAAATACTACGTTCAAAAATTAACCGTTATACGATCTTTAAGTAATTAATTTTGTTAATGCATTCTCTATGAATAAATACCATGGCCAGGGTGTAATAACATGTAATATAACTATGAGTAGTAAGTATTAAGTATAAAAAATAAAAATCAAAATATGAAATGATTAATCTCAAACAAAAAACTCATTACAATTTTAGATAAGAATGTTATCAGTAACTTCGTGATACGCGAATAGGTTTATGGGTTTCGGAAAAAAGCTGTAGATATTATCTATAGTTATGGTTTCGAGAATTGAACCATGTTGTCTTGGATTTAGCGTACAATGCCCACATAATAAATTTATAGTTGGATGAATGGAAAGCGTCCTTAATCTGAAACATATACAATATGTTATTTTGTACCATGTAAATATATTCACAATTCAAAAAACGCCCGTTTTTTTTCATTATTTAATATTTTGGGAAGCCATTATAGAAATTCACCACCGGGAGCGTTCGCATCAACGATCGCCCGGCACCGGCCACATCAGTTTTCAATTTTCATTCACCCAACTGGTGACTAGCGAGTAGTGACTGTAGTTCATTTTTAATAGATACGTCCCACATTCTAAAATATTTTGTATAATGTATATCTTTATTCATTACATGTACCTATCTTGAATCATGATTTAAATATTGACCATATTTCCTTTTTTTATGTAGTATGTACCAAAGCGATTATTGAATCAAACTATCAAATAAAAATTGTATTGTCTATTTAATCTTTAAGCAAAACTTAAAACTACCAAAAACAGTAGAATCTTCAGAAGTGCAGAAAGTGAGCAAATCGGTATCGCCTATCAAATTCACAGTTCTAGAATTCAAAAGTATACATCTCGTGACTCGTCATTTTGTTTATAGTAGACTGCAGTTTCTATAGTTTTGAGAATAGTAATCACTGAAATGGAATTAAACACTATGTATGATATAAATATAATTAGTCAAGTTAACAAAGACTTAGGATTATTTATTGTTGTTGAAAAATTTACTAATAGTTCAACAAGATATTTTCAAGACTATTATAAACGACTTTTAAATTTTCACAATTGTAGTGAGTGGTTTGAAAAATTTGACTATCCTATTATTGAAATTGGAAAGGTTAGTAATTATTTACTGCTAATAAATATATTACTGTGAAATCTCTGAATAGTAGTCATTCAACCACTGAAATTTTGTCCACTATTTAGAGGAGAGTAAATTTTTAAAATTCATAAAAAGTAAATGTGTGACAAAAAATGTGCTATGTTAAAATAAATTACAATATTATTTAATGTTTTAGTAATATAATAGTTTTAATATTTTAACAAAACATAATATTTAAATACATATTTTTTTTTAATTTACAGGTAGTAATTGCTCAAGTTAATAAAAACCTATGGGCACGCGGTATTATATCAAAATGTCATGATCATAATAATTTATATCCTGAAATTTATTTAATCGACTCTCAGGTATTGTATTCATTGTTCATTAAATAATTGTTGTTATATTGATTTTATATGTTTAAAATTGGTATTTAGAGATTCACTGACAAAGACAATAAGTTTGAATTGAGAACATGTCCACCCAAATTGTTGCAGCTTATAGTTCCAACCTATTACATTAATATAGATCTTTGTTTAGATGATGATGATTTAAAAGCTGCAATTACAATATTGATAAAGAAAAATCAATATGGTGATTTGAGTTTCAGTTTTATTCCTAAATCTTTTGAAAATAATATTTATTCAGGTGAATTATTCGTAAACCTTAAAGTTAATAATTTGTATACACCATTAAAAAAAGTATTGAAAAATTTCCATACAAAAAAAATTTTTGAAGGTAATTAAATAATATTTATATTTTATACACTTATAAAATATTAACTATACTCAACATTAAAAAAATATATGCTTTGTTTAGACATTCCCCAGTACAAAAAGTATCAATGTTCAATTTTCAATCCAATAGAATTAAAATATTTGGTAAGTTCAAATCTTTATATTAATTTGCGAATTCTAATTAATTGTTTTTGTTTCTTTAGAGAAATATTTTTATACCAAGGGAACCAAGTAATATGGTATTTTTAGAGAATAATCTAATTTCAAGTTGCTGTGACTTAAGTGTTCTTAATGATTCAAATACAAATCTGTCATATAATTCTGCAAATGAAATTTCCTCAAACTCTAACTACTCAGAAAATATCTGTTTTAGTGATGACCCAGAATTAGAAATTCAAAAATTAGATATTAATTGTACTACTCCAATAGCAAAACAAAAAGTTTACTCTTCGAATTGTTCTTTGATGAGTAAAAGCAGCTCTTCTTTACAATCATTAACTTCTAATAATTATAATTGCTCTATGCCAGAAATAAAACAATGTAACGATTTTACTATGATGAAAATGTCTAAATTGAAAGACACTGGTTCTCAGCAGAATAACAAGTCAACTTTAACCCATAAAATATTAGAAACACCTACAATAAAATTAAAATCAAAAACCAACGTAAAAACTATAAATACTTCAATGGAAAATTCAGATATATGGTGGTCTGATGATGAAGAGAGTTAAAAACTCCTTGATTATACTATGAAATAAGAGAAAATTATTGTTTTTACTAATTTTAGTATTTTAATACTTTTTAACTAAATATAAAATATAATAGTGATGGACCAATTTTTGTTACATTTACCATTTACTACAAAAAGTACCTAATTAACTAGTGTTTGTTTTTTAATGATATATTAAATAAATTGAATATTTTGTTATTTATTATCTTTATTTATAGAATGCAATGTTTGTGTATGTGTATAAATATTCTATAGCCAAGTTTATTGCACTCATGGTTTTAAAATTTAGTTCATAGTTAATATTATATCCGAGGATGTATACCTTAAATTTATATTTTTTTAATTTGCGTGTTAAAAATGGCTAATACAGATTTATTCATTCATAAAAACTATATTTTTTTCGTTTATATATGTTTGCCATCGATAACAGAAAATAAAAATATTACAACTATTTAGTTATAGTATTTTTTTTTTATGTTTATTGTATACTTTGTATAGCAATTAGTTTTGACAATTGAGTATTAGCTAAACATTAAGGGAATAATATAAAATAGTTATTTACAAAAAGGAAATGAAGAATATATAACTTAATTTAAAAGCTTGTATGGTTAAAAAATAATATATTTAGTATGATATTATTTTATTAGTCTGAAAGAATACTTTTGATATCAAAAGAAATAATAATTGATCACATTCGGTTGATAGTCTGAGGCATATGAAGATTAAGTGCTAATATTGCAAACCATAGAAGTTTAATTTTAGACTCATTTTATACTTGGTAAAAACAATTGAAAATCTGTATAATTTATATTTTACAGAGTTTGTTTTAGAAAAAATAAAAATAAATCCACTGTCAATGCTTGTAAGATACGTTATAATTAGAGCAAGGACTTTCATGCATTAAAAAATCATCAAATATGCATTTATGCATCAAAAAATTTAAAATATGCAGTTAAATATGCCCTCAAAAAAATCAATACAATAAAATGTATAGCTCTAAAAATTATATTTTTTCTTTACATATTTAATTTTAATAATTGTATATCATCTCTCTATAAGTTTTAACTGAATTTGATATCACTATTGTAATCTAATCTAGTTTCGCAACTATGGTAAAATGAGTCTCTTTCGTCTTTATGAGAATATAGAAACAGTAAAATATAATACTTTGTGTCCTTAATAATGAAAAATATTCACCGAGAAACATGATTTTCAAAAAACCTTCAAAATATGCACTAAAAACTAAAAATATGCTCTTAAAATTAAAAAATATGTCCTTTAAACCCAAAATATGCACTAAAAACTTTGAGATTTTAGTCACAAATGTTGTGGAATGTATTGTGTACTTACTCTGCATATGAAAAAGTAAGCCTGAAAAAATATGCAAATGCATGAAATTCCTTGCTCTAGTTATAACTTAGAAGAATTAAAATAATTATTCTAATCTACTTCTCTTCTATTGTCCTATATATTTTGTTAAGGAATTGATCTAATTTTCAGTTTGCCACAGAACTAAAATAAATACCAATTTAGATTGTTAGTGGAGTTTCAGTAATCAGACACATAAGAAATTAAAGGACTTTAATAAAATAAATACTCAATATTTAGATGAAATTTTATATTTTATTATTTTAAATATTTGGTTTAGAATCAATATTAGGCATTATTAATTTAAAACTCATGAATATCCGTTGATCAAATTTCCAGATAATTTTTTCTGCAAGTAATAAATATCATTAATATCAACATATATTATTTAAAATTTCTTTCAAACTAACATAATTTAAAAAATAATTTTTACTCAACATTGTTAAGAGTAAATACTTGAAAATCAAAATCAATTTTATTAGCAATAACAAACATTTTAAAAATATTCACTCAAAAAAGTTATATGTTAAAATTTAGTCTGGCATAATTACATAGTATAATGTAATAAGCATTACTAACTGTAATTCCATTAGTTTTTAAAACTTAGATAAAGAAGCTAGATGAATATTTGTTTAATATGTATATAATAAAAAATTAATTATAAGTTACCATTTTACAATTGCAATAAAGACAAGTGATTTTTTCTTTTTGTAATTTATTTTTTATTGTACAATCTGTGAATTATTTTTACAATAAGTAAAAGTGATGATAGAAGTTAACAATATTTACAAATAAGTATTTAAAGAGACACTAGTTGTGACCGAAGAAGCCAACCAGAGTTGGAACTTGGGGTGAGGTTTAGTAATAGTTAGTCAGCCAATAGGTCTTGGCACTATGTTCTTTTTTGGCACCTACTGAGGTCTCCAAGGATGGTGAGAATAGAGAGTTCAACTATTAGTGGATTTCTGTGATTGTGTGTACTGCAGTGGATATTTTTTTATAGAATGATTTGGCAGTGTTTAAAACTGTTTGGATGGATAAGTCTTAGTGTATTGTGTCGTTGGAGACATAATATGAAGCTTTTGTTATTTGCCAAAGGCATCTGGATTGGAACATTTGTATTTTTTTGATATTAGAGGGCTTGGCAGCTCTCTCAGAGTTGTAGGCTGTAGGTCTATTTAATCTATTTAAATTTGAGGATCAATTTATGTATCAGTAGTTTATTTTTTAGATTTAAGTAATTTGATGTAAAAAGATAGTGTAATTGATGTGATTGATTGTTTAGGGTGAGGCGCTTGAGGTGAATATGGAATAGTGGATATTTTAGAGCATTGGGTGACATTAAAAAAATTTTCATGCGACATCATAATCTAAATCAACAAATATGCCTAAAAAATACTTTTTAGAATTAAATATACAAAACCTTACCTACATCTAACATTCTAACAATACCATCAAAACTCATAACATATAAACAAATACAAATAATTTATGAGTTAAACTTATTCTTTTTAGTTAAAAAAAGGAATCAATAACATACAGTATGCATATTATAAAAGTATAAAAAATAGCTCATTAATATATATATATATATATATATATATATAAAATAATTGACTTGTAGGAACCAGGATTAAAATTAAATCGAAAACAGTTTGTAGATATTTTTATTAGAACGACTGATGACCAGATGAAACATAATGCATTGTCGCATAGAATAAATTGCTTCTTAGTTCATGCATACCATAATATTCAATGAGTACCTACAGTGATCAGTCACACGGGTTTTCCATTGTAAACAATTTCAATAATAATTTATACTTCCAAATTCAAATGATCAAACGAAATAATATAAATAAATAACAAAATTAAACATAAGAAATAATTATATAATAATTTTAAACATCGTCATTTTTACAAAAAATTGTTGTCACCCAGTAATTAAATATGTGGTCTACTAGGCGACAAAAAGCTTTTTCTAGGCGACATTCTTGTCGCCCCGTATATTAGTTAAAATATCCACTGACACTGTGGGATACTCAGGTTAATCGGTGATCTAGGTGCAGACCCAGATATCAGACTTTGAAACAGTTGGTAGGGGACGTTATTAGGTATATGTTACATTTATGCTTTTGTAGCTAATGCTTGTAAATCAACCATGCATTTTTTAAAACTTTGTTTTTCTTGTTCATGTGTTAATGATTTAAGAACATTTTCAATGATCCAATTAACCATGTGTCTTTGTTGTACAGAACGTGTCAAGTTAGCCAAATCCAATTGATAATCCAAACGCCTTTTTACCTATAAATAAAACATAGATACTGGTAAAATACTTGTATATTATTAAAAATAGTACTTGGTTGTAGGCTTGTAGAGCTCGCTCTCGATAAATAGCTTCTAACTGAATAGCTACATTCTCTCGTTTTGCTTGAATTACATGTTTTTGAGCTTCAGTTCTCCATACTTCTTGGTTTTGGTGTTCAATGCATTTTTTTAAGCCATCAATTTCACTTTTACGACTAGCATTACAAGATGTTTCGTATTCCTAAATAAAATATTATATTATTTAATTATTAACTTTCAACAATTTAAAAAAAAAATAATTACATTAAATACATACATCAATTTCTTTATCAAGGAAATCAGCTAAAGAAGATCCAAATTTTTTCCATCCGACATAAAACAAACCAATAGTAGCCAATACATAAGGGAACTCATGTTCAACTACCCAAATTTCTTTACTTAATAAATAAGTTGTGACACCAGCAGCAAAAATATATGGACCTAGAAAAAATTTTGTTTTCATCAAAACATAATATAATTTTAAGAATGTAATAATAATTAAAAATTATTATATAACAAGTATTAAAAAATAAATAGTTATAAGACAATTTAAAATGTTTAGTTAAATAAAAGTTATTAAATATAATAAATTAATATATAATAACGTTGATTAGTATGATTGTTTTATTATAGAATACTTAATATACCTTACCCCTCTCTAATAATTTATTTTAATTTTTAACTAGATGCGCAATTTTTTTTTCAATGATTACACACTTGGAGTATTTTATACATAAATTTGATTTACATAGAATCAATGTTATATCATATATATTGACTTTATTTACTTGTAAAAAAACGGAGCACTATTTAATATTATTTTAAATTTAATTATAATAGGTAGTTAATAAAAGAAAAATAATGTTGTTATTACTATATTATAATTGATAAAAGTAAAAATATCTTACTGTCAAATAATTGTTACTAACTTAAATTAAACTTACTCACTATCCTGACTTATTAAACATCTTACATATCTAAAAATAGTTATTATGTGCTCCTTACATGTAAACTTCTGACATTAAGAACATTGTATTTCTGTCACCCTATTTTTTGCTTATTTCATTCACTGATACAAAAATAATTATACGGAGCTTGTTTATACTGCTACAAATATCAAATGACAATTGAAATGGATTAATGTCTACTATATATTGTATAAGGAAAGGTTAGATTAGGAAAATAACTGAAAACAATAATAAACCAAAATAGAACAAGATAAATAAAAATATTGGTATATAGAGTACACCAGCACATGCGTTAAGAGTTAAATAATTTAAAAACTCATATTATCATTATTAAGTTTAGATTTATAATTATCCATCTGCTTGTATATTTACATTCAGTCAAATGCTGTGAACACGTTAATGATTATGAAGAATTAGTATGGGATAATAATGCAAATTTATTATAATTATTAAATATTATTTTAAAATAATTTCAGCTTTATTGGAATTACTATAGAACATAAAAATGTTTTTCACAAGTTTTGTAGTAAAAAAACAAAAAAACCCCACTAAACATCTATTGTACAGCCAAGTAGTTATCTATATGACTATTTTTTATTATATTTTTAAGCTACTATTTTTGTTTTTCAACTATTATATTGTTCTGGCATATTACTTTAAAAGAGCAGTTTCTAAATAGACATATACAAACATTGATTTTCTTTTCTTATATCTAGAGGATGTCAACCTGCTGTTTTTATCTAACATGGCTAATTTGCATTGAGCAAAACTAACTTCATGATGTTAGCATTAATTCAATTTAGAATAAATATTTAATTGACCAATTATCAAACTTAAATTAAATATTATTATTAGTTTTTATTTTTTTATGATATTTTAATTTTTAAATGAGTTATACATTTAGTAAATATATAAAATATTAAAATTCAAAAATTTTCTTAGATCGCTTAAACAATAACATTTTATAAAATATTGACTAGCAAATAGATAATATTTTAACTTTGAACTTTAGTAATAGGTTAATATACTTTAATATTTAAGCTAACATAAATTTACTGGGTAAAACATATATTGTTGTAACATCCTTTTAAATAAAAGAATTTATTTTATAAGTTTTACTTGTTGCATATTATCCAGTAAAGATTTAAAATTAAAATAAGGGTAGTTATAAGAAGCGTGATAAGCAAGTAAATAAAAACTGCAGATCTAAAAAGTAAAAATATGTTATAACCATACTATAGAAAACTCAGTTTCAGATAGTATGTGTTTTAAAATATTTATTTAATTAGTCTGAAAGTGTACAGGAAAAATAATATAAGAAAAAAAATTATATCATCTAATGAGGAAACATTGAATATCCTTACCAGTAACTCCAGTTTTTTTGTAAAATACTTCAAACCACTCTTCAGGTACAAACAAATACCTAGTTTTAGCAGGTTCTTCTAACCTCACCAATCTGGGAAAATTCACAAGATCACGTTCGGGTCCGTCAAATGGATTAGGTTGAGGTTGGCCATTGGGTTTTGGGAACCCTGGTACAATGATTGATTCATTAGTAGTAGCGACTGCCGGTTTGGTTTGTGTGGTGCGAACGACACTAGCACACAGTGGTGTTACTCGGAATAGTTCTGTAAAATCCACATTTCAAGCAAAACTATTAAGATACGTAATGTAGGGAACATTTACCTGAACGAAGAGCTAATCTGGATAACATGATTAGTAATTAATTCTTCGCCTGTGCCTTGACTAGAGAAGATAATTTCTATCTTGCGGAAACAATGATGGAAGTCGGAACTCGGAAGATATAAATGTATGGGTGAAATGATATAAGAAATGATGATAAGGTCAACAACAATACGATGAAAAAAAACAAGGCTGTGTCTCTAGATACCCGGGTGCCCGTGTAGATTAAGCGTACACGGACCCATTCGTGTATATATTCGATACCCGAATTGGTCGAATTGTTAACGCGTATGCGCCATAGACACAATAATATTATTTCATGTTTATATGCTATTTATAGGCAAACTAATTTTATATTTATTTTATTTTAATTTGTTTCTTATTGATACATTACTACATTACTACATTAGTATACACTATTAAATAGTAATACATACCTACATGTAAAAATACTCAATAAAACAGTCGAATTTGATTAACTCAAACTTTTAACTTAAACTTTGAGTTTATCATTTTGACTGTATTTTTAAATAGTGTATACCTATATTTCACGAAGCGTAATCGTGCTTATTAGTTGGGAGCACTCATGTTGCGTTTTTTACATGTAAAAAGGTAGGAAGGGCGCAATCGTGTTACAGCCCCGACGATACTGCTAAAAAGGGTTGATTTATATCTATTATTAATCCTGCCGGTAGAATTTCTTTTTTGATGACTTTTTCTAATTGTTCTTTTGCTATGTTCTCATTTTCATTAATTCCTTTATAAGCATTTAAAGTTCAAATTTTGACAAAATTCGTCAAAATTACGTTATTGTTAACTATTTTATAATAAAAAATATGATATGTGCAATATTTTTCATAACTAATAAGGTTTGAAATTTTAGTTAAAGTTTTTTCATAAGTATTTCATTTCGGAATTAGTATATTTTTTTTTTATACAATGATAAGTACCTATCATCGAATTCAAATTTAAGAGAATATACATTATATATTGACTTATTATATAGGCACCTACTGTATAGTACTCCAATATAATATATACTTGCCCACATTAGATTCTGAACGAAGTGAGGATTAATTTTATAATGATGTGGTATTTTATTTGTGTCTGTCATTTTCAAAACATTTTGACTAGAGCTATGATACAAATATTAGATATGTGAAATTTCACACTTTTTTTTTAACTTTCTTTTCAACTACAGTCAATCAAAATCTATTGCAAGGTTTGTTATAAGTTGTTATAAAAAAAAACTTGAAAAAAAATTGAGCTTAAATTTACAAAAGTTTTTTATGAACGTTATAACGTTATTTGTGTACACAGACACAAAAAAAACATACATACATCATTGGAAAATCATTGAATTCATCGCAATCTAAATAAAATTAAAAAATAATTTCTATTTGTAAATTAATACAAGTATATTCACTACACATCAATCAATATATAATATTATAATTACCTCATCATTATTGTTTCTACAATCTTCACGTTTTTTACGTTTCAAGTTGGCCAAATTAGGTTTTTTCCGTGGTGCACATAGCCTGAGACGTGCTTTTTTACCAAAACGCCAGTTTTTATTCATTTTAAAATTCAAAATAATAATCATTAACAAGAAAAATTGAACTTAACTGGTTGAATAGTTCAAAATAACTAATTCAATTGTGTTTTGTTATAATATAAATTTACTGATTATCATATATTTTATACTTTACAATTAATATAGTATTATTTCATTTCCGTAGTCATTAGCTCTAATAATTGATTTATTAATTACAATCATTCGAAATGCGGGTATTATTCAATACCTACTATTCTTAGAAATGTTCTAACGCCCATACGCGCATGCACAAGTCAATCACTCAACGTGTTTCTGTTCGGCGCCTGCGAAGCTTCCATGCCCAGGAAGAGAAAGGGCCCCTAGGGCAGGCGGCCGGTGTTCTGGTGGTCGGATAAGATCGCCAATTTGCGTCGCTTGTCCCTGGCCCTCCTAGGCGATACCAAGCCTGTATCAGACGCGCCGGCCAGCTCGGAGCCCAAGAAGCTAGGTTTTCCTACATCGCCGCCAAGAGGGAACTTCGCATAGCCATCCGGGAGGCGAAAAACAAGTGCTAGGCTGACTTGTGCGCTCAGGTCGACACCGACCCCTGGGGCAGACCCTATAAGCTCGTGATGAAGAAGCTCGGTGGTCAGAACCCAGCCGCGAGTTCCAAGGGCAGAGAGTCTGTCATCGTCGACGCTCTGTTCCCGGCGTCTCCCGTCACGGATTGGAACTTGGCTCCATCCTCAGCAGTGCACAACATCTTCCAGGCGTTCGACTCGGTCCTGAACACACTCGAGTTCACCAGGGTCATTCCAGAATTCAGGCCGGAAGTACTCAGTAGAGCAGTCAGGAGGCTGACACCGGGTAAGGCAGCCGGTCCTTCGGAGATCCCCAACGAGATCCTCCGGGCCGTCGCGCTCGCCCAGACCTGCGCAGTCCTCCGCATCTTCAACGATTGCCTCGAAGCGCTGATGTTTCTACCACGTTGGAAGAGGGCACGGCTAGTGTTACTCCGTAAGGGCCCGGGCAAACCTTCGGACGCCCCGTCGAGCTACAGGCCAATTTGTATGTGTGACGCCCCTGAAAAGCTGCTCGAGAGGCTCCTTCTTCAGAGGCTAGAAGACCACCTGGACGCTCATGGGGGATGGATAAGAGCCCCGAACCAGTTCGGCTTCAGGAGGGGAGTCAGCACGGAGTCAGCAATCGGCACGGTGCTTTGCATCGCCGCTCAGGCGGTTACCACCCCGAGAAGGAAGAGCCTCTGCGTTTTGGTGACGCTGGACGTCAGGAACGCTTTCAACTCTCTGGGGTGGACGGTCATCGACGCAGCTCTGAGGGGAATTAACACTCCAGAGTACTTAGTAGAGATACTCCGGTCCTGGCTGGCTGACGGAACACTACTAACTGGCGAGGAAATGGTAGAGAGGCCGGTGACTTGCGGAGTTCCACAGGGTTCCGTCCTTAGCCCCGCCTTGTGGAATCTCACTTACGATTCCCTCCTAAAGATGGAAACGCCGCCCGGGATGCAACTCGTCGGCTTCGCGGATGACCTCGCGGTTGTGGGTATGGCCGTGACCGGACAGCAGCTCGAAGAGGCAATTAATCCCACATTGACGGCTATAGACGACTGAATGCGGAGCAGGGGTCTAGAGCTGGCTCATCAGAAGAGCGAGGCGGTGGTACTTTTCCGGAGGCGGGCGTTTGTCCCCCCCACGTTTGACGGTCGGCGGTCGCCTCATTCCATTGCGAAATGAGATCAGGTACCTCGGTGTTATTCTGGACAAACTTCTGACCTTTGCTGCACACGCGAACACCGTCGTCACCGCGAAGGCTCGACTGCTGCGATATCCAGGCTCATGCCCAACATAGGTGAATCAGCTCATCTTTCCGTGTGTTGCGGGGTCGACCAGTTCTTCCAGGTTGCCCCGGAGACACTCAGCCCCTTTATGTAACCGCGGGGTTGTCTCTTCCGGGCAGTAGTCCTGGATGGCTCCGGGGGTCCCACCCGGGGCGCCGCCTCACCTCGGGCGCCATAATGAGTGACCGCCGCGGCCAGAGCCCGACGGATTATCGCCTGAGTCAAACCCCTTCTACTAAGGCGGTACTCCCACAACCACCACGAGTCCTTCCTCAAGTGTGCCTTCCCCGGTGCGGGCGAGCGCGAGTCCTCGGTGAGTCCACGCGGTCGTGCGCCTCGGGTCCAGCACTCTCGGAGCGTCGAGGCGCTATTAGCAAGCCGACTCGACGGGGCTTACTCCGAGTCCCGTGGTACAAGGTTTGAACCCGGCGTTCAGGCCCTCGCAACTGCCTTGTCTGCAAGCAAGTCGGTCGGGGCACCGCTGTGTGTACCGCGACGACTCCTTTATAGCGCGTACGGTTTTGATCTTTATCGACAGATTGCCGTTTCTGCCGGTGCCTCTCTCGTATCAACAAGCCCCGAGCCGGCTGAATACGTGCACGTGCTTCGCCCGACGGGTGGTCTGGCCCCTCTAGTTCGAGCTCTAGGTGGATCAGCTCAGTGGAAGAGGAGGCTGCTCGCGTTTGTTCTTGAAAGCCAGTTGCTGTACGCTGCTCCCGTCTGGATCCCTGCCGTTGTAGAAGTCGCCAGAATTTGGGCGATCTTGATCCGTCCGCAGAGGACCGCCGCTTTGAGGGTAATCCGGTCATACCGTACCGTGTCGGACGAGGCCGCCCTGATTATGGCCTGCATGCCGCCCGTTGACCTGCTGGGACTGGAGAGGCAGAGCATCGGATCCCGACTGCGTGCTGCGATGGAACCCGGCGAACAACGGCCTCCCAAGGCAGTCGTGAAACACGAGGCAAGAAAAAACACGTTCGTCGTCTGGCAGGCGAGATGGCGTGCTACCCTGAAGGCGGCCTGGACGCGCCGCGTCATCCCTGACCTATCAAGATGGCTGGAAAGGACCGTCCCGTGGGTGCCTCTGACGTTTCACATGACACAGGCACTCACGGGCCACGGCTGCTTCGGATGGTACCTCCATCGCATGAACAGGGCCGTCAGCCCGCGCTGCTGGCAGTGCTCGGGCGAATCAGACACCGGCGAATACACCTTGTTCGATTGCCCCCACTGGGACGGCTTTCGCGAACCCTTGAGCGCCAGGATTGGCCATCGACCGAGCATCGACGACGTCCCGGACATTATTCTGCCGGTGGACGCTCACGGGTGGGACGCCATCCTGAGTGAAGCCGAAGAGCAGTTTAGGTTATTTTACGGCATGGTGGAGAATATCCTTTCAGCTAAGGAAGAAGAAGAAAGATGCAACAGGCTGTGAACGGACGGAATTCACTATAGCTAGGCAATCAGGGAGAACGGAGCTACTATTTATTAATAGTATTATATTCGGGGCCATGAAAAGTGGCGTGTGACCGACGCGATCCAAGCGGTTAAATCGTCTAATGGGTTCTTAAACGGCTAAAACCAATCGTCGCGCTTTTTTAAAAATACTCGTTTTATAATAGCGCAAAAAGAACGCCGCAAATTGAGAACCGCCGATTGCTGGCCGTGTGTGGGTTGGGGTACAGTCAAGGTCACACGGCCGCCTTTGTTACCGTTACCGCTACGGCTACGGCCAAGGATCGTATCTTCACAAAACCCGCACACGTACGGAACGAAAAAGACACGTTCTACGCGATAGATTGGGAAACGTGTCGGAAGAACATCTTAAAAGGCCGAAAAATGGGCGTAAACGGTAAAACGGTAATAAAGGTGATAACACTGACAACAGTCATGAAGACTGTCTTCATGATAACAGTAATAATAATGACCGATAACGATAACGGACAGTCGGCAGGAGATAACGGCGATCTTTATTATCATAGATAATAGACTTTAACGCGGGAAAATATAAAATTTATTATTGTGAAAATTGAATGATAAATAATATACAGTATCAGAGTATCAGACCATTTTAAATGGCAAATGATATAATCTCAATATTGAGTTTTGTATGTTCTATATTTTAATTACTAAAATTAAAATAATTATTAGTTATAAGTCGTTTTGTTATTAGTTTCTAGTTTCTAGTTACTACTTTACAATTTAAAAAAAATATTTTTCTTAACCTGTGTCTTAAATTTTTATTATTTTTGGGTAGGTAATCGAAAATTTAGATGTTAATGTATTTTCTTATTCGGTTATTGTTTATTGCCATAACTATTTTTTGTTTCATAGCATATTAGAGTATATTTTTATCACAAATTAAATGATCATGCAATTAAGTAGACCAATTCTTAATTCAAGTCAGTATATTATGATCTATTATAATATGGTTATAATATCATAGTCCATATCTAGGTGTTTGAATTTTAAATTTCACTTTACATTTGAAAAATGGTAAGTTATTTCTATTTAATTTATGCATTGTATTATTTGTATTATAATAATTTTACTTACAGATATTAATAACTGATTTACAAAGGTACTCATTGAAATGGTACATAATTTTATATATATCATTTATATTGCCTTAAAGTCGTATTTTAATCTTGCTTAATTCAATAACTACACTAATCAGTAATTATGGTAGGTATTGTATTTTTAACATTTGTTTTGTAGCAAAATGTACTCTACTTGTAAATTAAGATTGCATAGTTTATTTAAATATATTTTTATATGGCTTATTTAGCGTCGAAGTTTAGCTCCAAGCCAAGTCAACAAACGACCTTTAAATGATTCAAATCAATCTAAAAGAGCTTGCATAAAATATAATGACCAATTACAAAAAATTGAACAAAATTTAAAAATAGATGATAAATCTACTGTAACACTTTCCATATATGTTAGTATACTATTACAATTATAAAAGTAAAAAATAAATAAATAATATTTACATTTTTATTTTTATTTAAGGAACAAAATATAAGAAATATACTTTCAAAGCCGTTTAAAGTACCAATAGCTAATTGGAGTGGAAGCAGTTTTAGTAGAGCTTTAGGTGTTCGTCGTGATGGCTTACGTCGCCCTTTACATGACCCTACTGCTCCAGATGCTCTTATTTTATATATTCCTCCTCAAATTAGTGCTCATGATATTTTAAAAATGGATAAGTATGATATACTTAAACTTTAGTTAATTATTAAAATAAGTTGTCTTTATATTTTCAGAAATAAAATATTAGTTCATGTTGTTGTTGATCCAACATTATCAAAAATACTTAGACCTCATCAAAGAGAAGTTAGTATGTTGTTAAATATTAATTAAAAATATTTCTAAAAAAGTTTTTGAGCATTTTCTGCTCTTAAAGTAGAAACATTGGATCAATCACATGTTTTTCTTAAACTAAACTTTTGATTTCAAACTAAGGTATTATATTTTTTTAAAGAGTGTGATAAAAAAAAAAATTTAAACCTTTAAAGAAAGACTTGTGCATGTCAAAATATTTTTATATTTGCTAGAGACATAATCTATTATCATTTATTATTAATTAAAATAAAATTGTGAAATAATTTTTTTCAACTTTAATTATTTTGAATGTAATAACTGATTAATCTTCCAATATAGTTACATCCCCATTCTAAATTTATTTTATTGCACATATTACTGTCATATTTTGAGATATTTATCATATTTTAGCTGAATGTAATCCAACATCATCAATATTTAAGCTAGATCTAACCTAAGCTAGAGCTCCCTAGCAAATATAAAAATATTTTGACATGCACAAGTCTTTCTTTTAAGGATCAACTTTTTTTTCATCACACTCTTTAAAAAAATATAATATCTTAGTTTGAAAGCAAAAGTTTAGTATTGACAGATTTTTTAAAATAATTTATTTATAATTTAATCACTTTTTAGGGTGTTAAGTTTATGTATGAATGTGTTACTGGAGTACGAATAGAAGGTGCATATGGATGCATTATGGCAGATGAAATGGGGTTGGGGAAAACTTTGCAATGCATAACCCTAATGTGGACTCTTTTGAAACAAGGACCAGATGCTTCACCAACTATTCATAAAGCTATTATAGTTACACCTAGTTCCTTAGTGAAGGTATTAATAAAATTTTACTTTTATGTAATGTATTAATAAATTCTAATTAATGATTTTTTAAAACCATTTTTGCTATCTTGATTATACTTTAAATATTGATAACCTTTCAAATAATATATTTTATTTAAGAACTGGTGTAATGAAATAAAAAAATGGCTTGATGGTCGTATTGGAGCTTTACCTGTAGATGGAGGTGGTAAAGAACAAGTGGACAAAGTAATTACTGGGTTTGTTCAAGCTAGAGGACGCAGAATTGTTGATCCAATTTTAGTTATATCATATGAAACTTTTCGAAGTCATGCTAATCTTTTGCAAAATGCAGAAGATATAGGTCTTGTATTATGTGATGAAGTAAATATAATCTTTTTTTAACTTTGTTTTACATAAATATTTAAAATTTAATAGCATATTGTTTTATTGTATATTTAGGGACATCGATTAAAAAATTGTGAAAATCAAACTTATCGATCATTAATGGCTTTAAAAGCAAAAAGACGAGTTCTATTGTCTGGCACACCTATTCAAAATGATTTACTTGAATATTTTAGTCTCGTTCATTTTGTTAATGAAGGCATCCTAGGGACTGCTCAAGAATTTCGTCGTCAATATGAAACACCTATTGTACGAGGTCAAGATTCCTGTGCTACTGATATAGAGCGCAAAAAAGCAACAGAACGTTTAGAACAATTAATTTTATTAGTAAATAGGTGTCTAATTAGACGTACATCAGCATTGCTATCCAAATATTTACCAGTTAAAACTGAACATGTTGTTTGCATAAAATTAACACCATTACAAACTGATTTATATCTTCATCTTCTTAAGTCTGATATGGTTACAAAATCAATTAAAAGTATACTAATCATTTTCAATAAATTTTACAAATTATATTTATAGTTTAAACTATTTTATAACATTATTTATATATTTACAGGTAATGATGGGAAAGTTACTAGCAATGCATTAGCTGCTATTACATTACTTAAGAAGTTATGTGCTCATCCAGATCTTATAATAGATAAAATAATGAATGGAACTGATGGATTTGAAAATTCGAAACAATTACTACCTCCATCATACATTGCAGCTCTATCCAAGTAAATTTAAATTTATTATTTTGATTTGATATCATAATTTTAAATGTATGTACTATCAATAGAAGAATTGATTGTTAATTTCATATTGTAAAACTTTATTACCTTTAAGTGTATTTATAAGTAATTTAAATCATGTATAATAATTTCCAGAAAAAAACTCATGATTGAATTATCATCTAAATTAATGGTCCTTGACACAATGTTAGCCGTTATAAAAACTACCACCACAGATCGTGTAGTATTAATTTCTAATTATACTCAAACATTAGAATTATTTGAAAGACTAGCTAAATTGAGAAACTATACATTTGTTAGATTAGATGGATCTATGACTGCTAAGAAAAGAGCAAAAGTATGTACTATTATTTTATTTGTATGTTAAAAAAATGTATTATTATAATTTTTTAATAATATACAATTTAATTAATTATAAAAGTAATTCAGACATTTTAAAATTATTTAATTCAGAATAATAATTCAAAATCAATCTATATTAAAAAAAAAAGTAGGTAACCATTTTAAATATTGTTTTATCGCTCATATTTAAGTTTGAAACAAAATATAATTAAAACAAAAAAAAAACTAACATTTGTATTGATATTATATAACTTACATATAACATAGCTAAGAAACTTTTTTGACATTTTTTGTTTATAAATGATTTAATGACTTTTTAGTATCTATTTCTTAAAGCAATTTGTGTTTAATTGCAAGTACTGATAATAAATATATTTTATTTTGCTTAGTTGATTGCTGTCAATTCTTAACCCTCTTTAAAACTAAAAATTATCTTACAATTTCATACAAAGTCTCAAAAATTGATTAATATATTGTGAAAGCAATTTTATATTTAGAAAACTTGTTATCATTTTAGTATTTATTTGTTTTATTAGCATTTCATTAAATAGAAATATAAGTTCTAAAATCTTACCTTGCAAACCGCTCATTTTTAATATGCCACTTCAACTCACTCTCTGACACTAAACCGATAAAATCAGAAGTCCTTCAAGGTAGTAACCTCTCATCTATCTTATACAGTATATTCACATCTAATATACCTAAGTCGACCAACACCCTACTGGCTTAAAATTAATATAAATATTTTAAAAATGTCATTTTATATAAAATATAATTGTATATTTAAAAGTTTTAAGTCTTCTTAAATAAAATTTTTGAATTACAACAAAATATTAAATAACTAAAATTGTTATTTTTTGTTTAAATAGGTATTTAATTTTGCCAAAATTTGCAAATGTTAGTGATTTTGATCAATTTTTTAAATATTTAAACTTGACACTTATCACATTTTTTCTGGTTATTTTGAAAAGCATTAGGAATTATGGTTTACCTTTATCTTACAAACTATATCTACCATAAACTACTCTCAAAAGTTGAAAATTCAATCTTTTACTGATTCAAAATATGATGACAGACAATGAAAAATGATGAAAAACATATAACAGTATAACTAATATAGTATATTTATAACTATTCAAAATTTAAAATGGTTTTTTAAAATATATTCTTTAAACACCAGGTACTAGTAATATTTTTTTCCAGTATATGAGTAATGTGTTAAAAAGATTTATTTTGAAATAACCAATAAATCATATTAAA